ATGCACTAAAAAAGTGATTTTGGACAAAGAAATAATAATAAAAATAAAAAAGAAATAATAATAAAAATAAAAAAGAAATAATAATAAAAATAAAAAAGAAATAATAATAAAAATAAAATAAAATAAAAAAAATAATAATAGTAAAAAAATAGCTTATAAATTACATATGAAGTGAAGTTATACTTTTAGGTAAGAAGATAATGTGTAAATAAAAATATAAATCACTAATGGAAATGGTCGAAATTAAATTAAACAATTTTGATCGTAAAAGAATTAAATAAATTGCTAAAACCAAACAAAAATAAACAAGTAATAGTGTATGTATAAATAATAAAAGATACGAGAGAAAAAACATAGAAAAACTAGCAAAGTATAAACTAAATGATATTTAATTAAAAGAATTTCAATAGTAGTATATTCTTAAATATGGAGCAAATTCATTTTCAGAATGAATTGTTAGTTTTATTGTTTTATTCAGTAAGGTTGATACTTTTTCAACTTACATAAACTAAATAGAACATATTGACTCAAAATATCATTCTGAAAACATAAAATATTTTTAAAATTAAATTTTTCTAAAGTCTATTAAGTAAGCACACTATTGTTTCGTAGGATGATGTATTTACTAATTGAGGTTTTCTTCTAAATCTTCAAATACAGAACTCCCTCTCTCAGATATGCCAATAGATTGTCAGTAAAGTAGGGAAATCGTAGGAAGGAAACATTTTTGGATGATCATATAATATCAAGATTCTGAACTTTTCTGATGTCAAACTTCGCTTAAATGTTATATACCTGATGAGCGAGCACTATGTGAACGATAAGGGGTTCACACAAGTTGATTAAATGGAAGCGGGCGTCAAATATGACGCAACTTTTCGAAAACGTTTTTATTGTCTAGCACAAATTTCTGGAACATAAATAATTTATTTATAAAACATTTCGTGTCGGGATTCGAATTATATTCATGCATATCATGTGAATATATACGTACATTATTATACATATGTTTTTATATTATTTGATTTAGTCGACATATTTTGCTTGATAATATTGGCAAAATATTGTATACAACAGCTTGGAACAAAATACTAAACCTTTCTGTGAAAATGGCATATCTGAGGCTTCTGATTTTTTTTTCACAAAACATTTCCAACATTGTGTAAAATCAAAGATTTGCTTCTTAGTACAATGAATATAAACTTTAACAAAACTGTTTTGCTCGAAAATGTATGGGAAATATTTTTCAATCGATTTTGTTGTAGAATATTCTTATAAAACGGGAAACCGTGTTTACGTCGTATTAACACAAACTCTTTTGATTGTATAACAAAAAAAGTTCAAAAAACCGCTATTCATATATTTCTTAAATGCATAAAAAAATTGAAACAATCCATTATCTATATTTTATGCAAGATTTTACTTTTTACCTATTTATTGAAGAACTTCAACTACCATACAAATGTCGATTGAAAAACGTTTCATACTGTCAAATTCGTCCGACAGTCGTAATCTGCTTACAACAATTTTACATTAAACCAAGCATAAGAACAAAATTAATTTTTTTGTATATATTTTATAGAATAATCGTAATTGGGTAACAAACAACCAAAAGAGAAAAGATTCTGGTATTAACACTACAGTCCAACCTCTGAAAGAACCAGAAGCACCACCACCGCCAGCATTTCATGTGAAACGAAATGATGTGGCCGGCATACCTGCGGAAATCAATTGGGATCTAGTCAAAGAGTAAGTTAAATTGAACATGATTTGTATTTTTTTTTATTTAGAAAAAATACATTCTATGTGCTAATCAATGCTGAAAATCGTACATTTTATTCCAGTCTCTTGTTATCTTCAATGCAATGCTGATCGAGTGTGAACCCAACAGCATTTGGTTTTAATAAGTAGATGTGGTCTCTTATGATAATTCTTCCAAAATGGTAAGTTATTTAAACAAGTTGATATTCAATTACTTTTCAATGATTATAATCATCGGATCTAATTACTGAATACCTTACCTTACCTTACGTTCACCGTGTAGATTTATATTTAAATGAGAATTACAAAACTTGCTATTCCGATTCAGTTTTACTTAGAAACGAATTTAATTTGCTTTTCGCTTTGTTTTCTTGCAGATACACATATGGACCAGTGTAAATATTCGAGGTAAATATCAAAATTCATTTTAAACGAATAGTATATTCTAAAAGTATACACGTTAAAAAAAAAAATGAAATTATACTACATGATCCGTTAAGGATGTATTAGCAAAAAAAAATAATAATAATAATAATTGAAGTGATGATAGTAATTACCGTATGAGTATATTCAATGACTAAAACTCGACGGCTGCGCTTTTTTGCGTACTGATTTTTTAGACAAATAGTATATACATAATTTTGAATTTCTAGTTTTCGGTTGCAATAAGATGTTTTTCAATTCTCTATTACAGGCGAACCTTAAACCAGTATTTTTTGATTGTGAGGAAGAAGTATTAAGTTTTATTCCCGATACCTGTAAATATAACAAATTTAACGTCCATTCCAATAAATTGTTAAATACTTTATGGGCGAGCTGAGGAAGTGGTGAATACTCGCTTCTATTGAGCAATGGAAAATGGTAAGTAAAACAAACGCTTGTTTTTTTCCCTTAAATGAATGCGAATCATAATGATGCTACTAATTACCGTATGAGTTTCTAAAACAGTGACTTAACCTTTACGGCTGCGCTTCTTGCGTTCTGAATTAGATTCTCTATTTATGCAAGAGAGGAAAATTAATATAAAAAAATATAAATATAAATACAATGATTAAAATGATTCAGTAGTCAATACAATTGAACAATTAAGGCAAAAAGTAATTGCGGATTTTTCATATAGTCGGCGTTGACAAATTCTTTCAACGGCTTGTGACTCTGTAATTGCATTTTTTCTTCTGTCAGTTATCAGCTGTTACTTTTAGCTTGCTTTAGAAAAAAAGTGCGCGAAATTTTGTTTACATTTGTTTGTTTGGCGTCAATTTTAATATGGAGCCCACAAAGGAGCATTTTCGTCATATTTTACTTTATTATTTCCGTAAAGGAAAAACCGCGGAGCAGGTTGCTAAAAAGTTACGATATGTGTATGGTGATGAAGCCTTAAAAGGAAGACAGTGTCAAAATTGGAGATTTTTCACTTAAAGATGAGCCAACGTTCAGATCGGCCAAATGAAGTTGATGATGAGCAAATCAAAGCATCCACCATATAGCCCTGACCTTGCACCATCAGACTTCCATTTATTTCGATCTTTACAGAACTCCTTAAATGGTAAAACTTTCGGCAATAATGAGGCTATAAAATCGCACTTGGTTCAGTTTTTTGCCAGGAAGATGGCAAAAGGTTATCGAACAAAATGGCAATTATATATTTGATTAAAGTTCATTCTAAGTTTTATTAAAAATGCATTTACTTTCTTTTAAAAAATCCGCAATTACTTTTTGGGCAACCCAATATATAGTATAGAAATGATTTAAAAAATTAAAAACAAATATTAAATAATAGTAAAAGAAGTGGAACTGAGTTTAAAAAAATAATGTTTATTATCATGTATAAAAAAAAAAGATAAAAAATAATGTATGACATTACTCGAAGCTAAATAAAAAATTCAAAGTATAAAGTAAAAAATATGGAAAAAAATAGAATAAAAAGGTATAACATTACGAATAAATTTTATTAATCCTTTCTTATTGCTTTTATAAAATATTATTTCATATTAACAAATTTCTGTCGAAATTTTAACATTGCTGTCTGTTTTATTTTCATAGATACTTCGTCAACATGCATATATCGGATAACTGCAAGCAAGAGAGAAGGTAAATATAAATTATAGCGTCGTCACTATAAACAGTGAAGCTTTCCATAAACGGGTGCCGACGGTACCAGATTTTTTGTTGGTTAATAGAGGTGCTCGTTTATTCGTGCTGAATTTATACGGGGAAAAGTTGAAAATACTTTAAAAAGTGCCCGCGCTAAGGGAAGTTTCACTGTATGTATGTTTACTAAAAAAAATTCTCCATGATGATATTAATTGGTCCGTGTTTATGAATTTATATTGATTTTCACCTTTCCAATTACTGATCTAATAAAAAAGTGAACAAAGCGATATATTCGCGTTGCTAAAAAAAAAAATAAGAAAGAAAAAGTATTTGATAAAAAAAAAATGTTTTTACTTTGTTTAATTTATATGTGTGTGTTAAGTTTGTGTCGACTATTGTGATTATTTTCAATATTTTCTTTTTAACTTACAGTGCATAATAACATTGCAGTTGCTGTTTCCACTAAATAGTTGAAAGGGTAAGCCATTTTTTTTTATATGTAACTATTTTTTTAATGTATTGTAATATGTTTAATTTTAATGTTTTTCCATGATGAAATTAATTGGTCCGTGTTTATGAATTTATATTGATTTCAACATTTCCAATTACTGATTAATTTTTTTTAATTAAAAAAAATTTACTAATTATACAATAAAATTGAAGCAATATAATATATTCATTTACTAATTAGATTTTATTCTCTTACGATTTACAGAACCATCAATTTGCTTATTGTGCGGAAACCAGCTAATATAATGCATGTGTTGTTTGTGTCCGATGAATGGAATGAATGTTGCATGCACCGCACTTTTGTTGAAAAACAAATAAAAATATGCAAATTTATCCTTTTAAAATTTCTTTCCATACAAAGAAAGTGTATGGTATTCCGAAATTATTGAAAATTTCTAATACTTTACGTAATGGTTTAAACTAGTAGTGAAAATTGTAAATATATATCTGTAGTTAATATATGTTATAAGTACACTTTTGTATGCAATTGTAATGAAATATTGCAAAATATCTACCATGCTTTTTTTAAATACATAATAAGTAATAAAATGAGTTAATTCAAGAAATTTTACTTTAAATGTGTGCAGTAACATTCATTCATCATCAGCATTGCACGCAGTGCAGATCATTTGTGATAAACTGAGTCAGGTAAGATTAAATGTACTAAAATTTGTACAAAATCTTCAAATTCATGTTTTAGTTTTTATAACGCATCCCAATTTTTTTTTATTTTTATATTTTTTTTTGTTTTAAATTTTTATTTAATTTTTCTTTTTCTTTGTAGGTATGTTAAATCTATTACTAAATTTTATTGATTTTAATCTGCAGTGTAAGAAGTTACACTTTTTTTTGGGTGGTTTGGATATTTTACTTTTTAATAAAGCCATTCATCATAAACAGGTGAGATAATTTTTTATTATATACTTTTAAATTGATTACATAATTCGAGTTCTAAGAAAAAAAAAATAAATGATGATATTTTCATATTTAGTCTTCTTTTCCCGACATAATATTGTGTTGATGATGTTAAAACTTACTGAGTCGCAAATTGAAATTTTATTTAAATTTAGATTTATACATTTTCTAATTAGTTTTCTTATTTTCTTTTGCAGGTATGTCAATGCAAGGCAAACAAGGGGATTAGCTAGCAACATTTCAACTTAATAAAATTTTTATTTTAAGTAATAAGAAATAAAGAATATGATTTATTAAAAAAGTTAAGAAGTTTTCTGTATGTAACATGTCTAGGTGTAATTTTTCGTGTAAGTATGGTACACAACAGTTGCAATAGCCGAGTGGTTAGCATTGCGTACTAAGATTCGGAAAGTTAGGGTTCAAGTCGCTGGTCCGACTATCTACCAAAACTATAGAAAACTAATTTTAATACAAAAAATATGTAGTTAATTTTTATAATTACGGAAATGTTAAGAAGCCCTCTTTTTGTGCATTTCTGACACGAAATAAAAGCTCCTCATAAAAATGCATTGGCCGTACGGAGTCATCTTAAAAACTAACAAAACTACAAAATTGAAGAAAGAGCCTGACGGGAAATAACTTCAGCCGTTACAACGCACCAGTAATTTGTAATAGACAAATTTTAATATGCATATAAATCATGCGGAAAATCACTAGGTAGAGAAACTTCGAAATTTTTTTCTTTTTCAAAATTCAGTTTCAAGCCTCCATCGAATTGTTGCCGAATTTTAACTTATCGCTGATGTTAAGAACCGATTATAGTTCGAGTTACTAGAACACTGCTTTATAGGCCCGTGTCAGGTTAGGAATCTCGCTAGGGTATTTGGGTTATTCAATGGTACAAAAATAAGGTTTCAATACCAACATTTCGAGATTCGGGAGGTCTTAGTTAATGCAGTACATCCCTCAAACATAAACAACAATTTTAACGCGCAACATTGATATTTATTGGCATGAATGGAAAGCTTAATCTCAAGTGAAAGTAGAAAAAGTTTAATCTAACCCCAATCATAACCCAATCGATCAGTACCCCTTAATATAGTTGAAAGTTTAAATATAACTACGCCATAAGACTCCGCTGAAATGCCTGAAAAATGAAAAAAATTGATTCAAAACTTTCTTTTTAATATATTAGCAAACAAAATAGCACCTTTTAATTTCCCACTGCTGAGCAAAGTTTTTGGATCCTTCAATTCTGGATTGCGTCCTGTTATCCAACTAGCCATTTCTGCTACCATATTGCTATTTTTTGGTATGAGTATTGGTGCCACAATAGAACTGTCTGTAGCAGCACCAAAAACGGGTAAATTGATGCGACTATAACCCAATGCCGTCTCCACACCCCAGCGCGTCTTGCCATATATGCATATGATCAATTGTGGCCCTGAAATATACATTTAACTTCCCAATATATATATATGTACATATATATTTAATTGAGAACGGACACTGTTCACTTACAACCATATGGCGTTGTACTCTTAAATGTCCATTCCAAAGGAAAATTGAATACTATTTTATCTTTAAAATATCCATTCTTATTCGATGCTGTTTGTGAAATGCCATTTTGAGCGCCCGACACTAACTCCCAATCCGGTCCGCTTATCACTTCATACCGGCAGAAAACCTCCGCTGCATTTGGACCTAACGGGAATTCCATTGCTTCCAATTGTCCGGTAATAAATATATTGAAGTAACTAGCTGTAGTTGGTGATTCAGTCATGTCGATAACAGTTTTTAAGCTATTTCTCTCTTCACGGTTAATTTTAATGGAAAATAAAGTTTATTCTTTTTGCGGATGTGCTTATTGGGCGTTAAAATATTACTGCTGGTTCCGCTTGTTTGTGTACATTTTTGTTGCTATGGTAATTGGTTTAGAGTTGCCAAAAGTTTATAGGGTAGTCATTTATAAGTTGTATAGCCTTGGTTATGAAAAATGGCTTTAACAGGCCCATTCTGTTGAGGTAACAAAATTTACCTAGGTATTAAAATTTACCATTCAGTAAATTTTGTTACTATTTCCTATTCTGAGCTCACTGTCACCCTGTAAATTTTGTTACCAGCGAAATAGGAAACAACAAAAATATCTGATGTTTGATTTTGTGTTGTAAGTTTGAGAAAAAATAAGTAATCAAAATGGGTAGGCCTATTTTAGGCCTGGAATTCATTGAAGATGAAGAAAAAATTGCAAAAAGCTGTATTTTAAGAAGTTATCGAGACTAAAAAATAGCCCTTGAATTTGTAAGATAACGTTTTAATTCAGCTTTTTTTGTTGTCCAGGCATATTTTTTATGATTTAATAAAAATTAATAAAACTTTTTAATTTTTTGGTGCACCGTCTTCCATTTCGATGTGAATATTTTTCTTTTTACTTTATCAACTGGCAAGTAATTTGACATGGACGAAAAAACCAGTGCTGCCAAATTTTTTTCGAACATTGTAACCAATCAATCAATATCAAAGATTTAAGATCTCATTCCTTACTTAGAGGTTTATATATGTTTATACGGCCAATGTGTGTTTATGGATTTATCTCTTCCCAAGGTCTAATGCACTAAAAAAGTGATTTTGGTTGGGCCGGGATGCAAACCAAGGACAGTTTGTATAGTTTTCCACAAAGAGAAGCTAGTTTAATCTAAAACTCATACTTATTTTACTGTTGAATAACTCTCTTCTTTACTTTCCAACAGCTTTCAGTGTGCAGTCCTAAGACCGCCACGTCGCCATTATGGTATCTTCGACCCCAGTTGGTTGCTCTGGTGTAAGGAACTCTTCTGGTAAGTCATTAGGTAGAACCGCCAATGTAACTGATGCATGAGCGTTTGGTCGCTTCGTGACCGGCTACAATAATTTTTTTGATCTGAAGTCCTGCTTTCACCAGGTGGACTACTTATTGTACTATGTAACTGCTAACGAATGACTGAGTCTCTCTAATTACCTTTTTTCCGTAGCCATGCCACTTTGCAAGCTACGATCTTGTGAAAATCTAAGGTATTTAATGTTGTTGGATGCTTGTTCTTTTGACTGTCTTCCATCACTGTGTTGGCTTTGATAAAGTGTTTGTCTGTGGCTGATTTCCATGCTGCTTATTCGCCGAGGCGACCTGCAAAATATCATATTTGCTGCTTTTTGTTCACTGTTCCCAAATTATTCCCAAAGTACTTTTTCGGGAATGTTGCGGGAGTGACAGTTCTTGGCCGGATAAAAATCCGGGTCGTTCCAGTATAAAGAACCGACTGTCGCGGGAACTTTTGGATTTTAGTCGCCTCTTACGACAGGCATGCCTTACCGCGGGTAAGTTCTTGAGCCCCTAACCCGCAGGGGCTTCACTGTTCCCTCTATCTTTGCGATGACCGCTTCTTGCGCACTATTCAGAGCGGTGTTAACGAACAACTTCCTCGAAAATGAAGTTCTGCTTTTGGCTTCCTTGTTTGCGGCCGCGTATTGAAAACTGACGGTTCAAATTCAATAAATGTTGTAACTTTCTTAGTTCCAAAACAAACAATTTGTATTGGCTCAATGGATTAGTACAGCTTTCTTTATTAAGAGTTTCTAAAAGGGAGACCAGCAAGTGATTGCCAAAAAACTGAATGGAATTTATGCCCGGCCGCATACAATAATTTCCCATCAGAACCACGCTTGGTCTCATGTTGCATTGCCGGTTAAAACTATTTGGAAAACAGCGGCTGGGAAGTTTTGCCTCACTTGCCTTTCAGCAGAGACCTTGCCCCTTGTCTGCGCAGTACTTTTGGGATGGGATCCACGCAATACATGCTCTGGAATATAACGAGCTTGAGAAGCTGACCGACATGGAATCGGCTCGGAAATTCTAAGATACGGCGACTTACAGAAGGTTTTAAGAGCGTAGCTAACTCTACTGACTAATGCCCAGAGTATATATAATTTTAAGAAAGGAACACTTCACCAGCCTACTGAATGACAGTGAAAATGGAACATCAGGAGACGTTGAACCTCATTCCCCAAATCGATGAAGATGAAACAGATGTTTCATGGCCCGATAATGAAGAAGTTCCAATAGCAATCGCCCGATTGAAAAGCAACAAAACGGTGGAGGCCGATGAATTGCCGGCCGAACTAATTATAACGGTGGGGGAGAATTTGATAAGTTGCGGGCATTAGTTTCTTTGCAAAATTTGGTCGACGGTTGGAACCCAAATGTGCTGTGTGTACAGAAAGGGAATCGCATCGCAGAAAAGGTTTCATAAAAACGTATTGTGTGAAAGACTAGAGGCTACCGTCAACAAACCTTTTGACCTTCAATGTGGTTTTAGACCTAGTAAATCCACCATTGAACAAGACCCGTAAAAAGCGGATTGACGCACACCAGCTCTTCATCGATTTTAAAGCAGTCTTGGACAGCGCAAAAAGGAGCTTTCTCTATGTCGCTTTGTTGCATTTTTGTATTCCCATAAAACTTAAGTTGATTACATTTTTTTCTCTTATTTATCTACATTTTATTCTGCTTTTATTAATTTGTTAAACTTTGATACGGCAGCACCTGCGCAGGGTTGCATGCAAAGCACCGGAGAGAATGCCAGACTTTAATGTCTTCTCCCCTCCAATATACTCGAGCTATCAGAGCCAAGAGCATATATATATATGTACATATGTAGGAGCTGTGTCCATATACATACATAGATGCAAATGTATGTGAACAACAGTGTGTGTATAAAACTGTGGGTACATGTAATCAAGCCAAGTTGTGCTTCTCTTTGCTCGGTCGGGTAAAGTCATACTGTTCGGGCGCTGCAGTTAAAAATACTAGAAATATAATCGAAACACAGGGATTGAACCTGTTGTGCGTTTTAATTGCTAAAATTCGTTAGTTTTTCGTATTATAACAAAAACTAAAATAAAATTAATGAGTAGATAAAGGGGTAGAGGGTGCGTTTGCTTTGATTGTTCTACATTATGTATTTATGCCGTGGGTGAAGATGTAAATAGCAAACATTTTGAAGAATTTAAACATTGTGTAGTGTAAAAAATTTTTTTATAGCTGGTATAAGAAAAAAAAAATAAAAAAATATACATATATTTATATATACATATGTATATAGATTTGTTATATATACATATACATATGTACATATGTATGCATATATTTTATATGAGCGTAAGAAAAAAAGAAAATGATTTGATTAATCGGAAAAAATAAGCTACAGCATCTTGACAACAATAACGAATACAACGAGTCGTAAAAAACAACAAAAACATTAGAAATAAAAAAAAAGAAGCAAAACACAGAGAAGACCAGCAGCCACAGCAACAACAACTCATGTAACGCACGATACAATTCGTAAACGTCAATAACAGCAGCAGCAGCAGCAACAACAACAACACCAACAACACCAACAAAAATAATAACAATAACAACAACAACTACAAGTTAGCAAAGCAGCATGCGCATAAATGGCAAAATATCAACAAAAACAATAATAATAACAACAACAATAATAATAACCACAATAACAACAACCACAACAATATATGATAATAAACAAATGTAAGAGAAACAGTGACGACAACGATAAGGTAGTCAGCAACTGAAAACCAATAACCACTACAGCAACACCAATAGCAACAGCAACAGCAACAAGCTGAGAAAACAACGAACAACCGACGGCAAATGGTAGAAACTTGGCAAACGGCTTTGCTAGAAAAAGTCATTATTATTAAATAGTTAGTGAGTGATTTCACCTAAATACTTAGAAGAAAATTGAATGGCAATGTGCGAAAAGATAAATGAGCGTTAAAATGTGATTTACTTATGGACATAACGGTGAAACCAATTAATTTTCTTTAACCTGCAATTTCGTAATTTTTTTTGTTTTTCGTCGCAGCATATATATATATATACATATGTGTATGTATGTATGTAATTATTAACGAGCACAAGTGAGCGAATTTCAGAAAAAAATTTTTTTTTCATATACATACATATGTATACTGACATACATACATACGTACATACATACATATCTACATTCATAAGTATAATATGTACGAGTATGCATATACATACATACGTGTATACAAAACTACATTCCAGCAGGTGTACATGCGTATACGCATACAGACGCGCAGGTCAAGCACCAGCACCAACAGACACTTGTTAACAAAAATGTTTCAAGCCAATTACTCTTAACAAATAGACAACAGTAAAAGCAACAACAGTACCAGCAGCAACAGCAACAGCAACAGCAACGGCAGCGGCAGCAGCAACATTTATAGTGGCTGCAAAACACTCAACGTGTATACATATGTATGCTCATACGAGTACATACGTACTTAGCTGAACATAAATATGCTTGATAAGAAAAAAAAACACATCTTCGCTGCTTGTACTTCATGGAAAATTCGCCGAATTTGATTTATAAAGTTCTCTGATAAGTGTTTATTTCATTAATGGCCAAAAGAAGGAAAACACATCTTCAAATATCCAGGAGCATAGTGTATTAAATAATGAAAATATATACATAAATACATACGCATGTATATAGTATGTAAATATATAGCAAGCGAGTATGTACCCAAGCGAAGTGCAAAAACAAATTAAAGCTCTCGAATATAATGTATCTTCATTATAAAGCTTATTATGTGGCGATTTTTATTTTTTCGGTGCAATTAACGGTTTATGTAGAATTAGAAACAAGTAAAATTTCCGTGTAAATGAGTTGAAAGTTAAATGTTTAGTAACATTAATTTATGCCAGAGAAGCTGCAGTTAACCGATTATCCACAAGTGTTTTGAACGAAACAAATACACTTGGGGCACACGTACTTACATACACACATACATATGCGTTTGTGTACCAATGTTTTGCGGTTTTTCGTGTAATTCCAACGCAAAATACACAAATGTATTGGAAAAGTTTAGCCTTCAACATAATGAAAAATAAAAATTAAATTCAACTGAAAGTAAAAATTTTATACACGTGACGGTTGGTCATTACCAAAACCCCATTGTTACCGGACGATTAACATTTAAGGGTTAAAGCCACACTAGGATTTTGGAAAACGCAATTTATTTTTGTTTTTTTTTTTTGCTCGCAGGGTACCCTTGGGTCCTAAAAATGATATGCAATTGGTTTTAAAGTGAAAAAATTAATTCAAACAGCTGAACTTTTTATTTGGCTGCAGCCACTCAGTGCGTGCGCTGGGTACGGTGAAAACTTTAAACGCGTTTTCAAAATGATCGATTTATCTAATCTTTTGATGGTAGCTTCACAAAGCACGTAGCCATTTTTCGATTAAATATAAACTTTTTTTTCAATAATTTAGTGCGTATTTTTTTTAGTCAAAAATCAATCTTTCAAAAACAGAGTGTAACATTTTTACGAAAATTAGTTAAAAAATAAATGCGTACGTACTTGCAAAGAACATAGTTTGTAGATCATAAAACTTCTTCTTGCTGTTCTCTGCTAGGTCTCATTCTTTGACAGAAATCGGTCCTTCCGTGGATGCCTTTAAAAAAATAAACATGGAACATAAGGAATATTTTTTTTAATATATTTTCAAAGAAAGGGTTAAATATATTGGATGAGTGCATAAGTTCGTGCCCGATTCTGCTGGATGCCGTTCGAATCGTTTGAGAGTGGCGCTCGTCAAAGAAATATATACATATTATATATGGTTGGAAAGGTGACAGTCCGAACTGTAAATCAAGCATAAAA